TAGCTCACTAGCAGCCTCGCACCGATGACCTAGTTGATGTCATCATTTACCCAGAATGCTTTGCGTGTAAATAAAATGGCTCTATCCATGTTAAAATATATTTTAAAAAATTTACAAAACTAAACAGCCTACAGTATTTTTACAGTCTTTATTCTACAGTTAAAATAAATGTTCATCAAATAAAGTTTAATGTTACAACTAATCGTGGATCCCTTTAACAGGAAGAAACCTGCGGTGATTTCTAAATGGAAATGCTGGCCAGTATTTGTAAAAGTTAAAATAAATGTTCATCAAATAAAGTTTAATGTTACAACTAATCGTGGATCCCTTTAACAGGAAGAAACCTGCAGCAGAACCAGAACCAGGCTCAGGACGGGCGGTCATCTGCCTCGACCGCCTGGTACCAGATRAGAGGGAGGCACGGGAGTGAATTTTTACTCCTGTCCCAATCCCACAGAAAATAATCCTGTGTCGTTCCAATCCTGGTACGATGACTCCCGCTCCTGTACCACTCCCATTTTTTCTTCCTAATTTGAGACCACTCGTCCCCGACTCACTAGTGTACTAAAGTCTTACAAGCAGCATGTTAACAGCGTGTTAACACAGTCATATTCAACTAACACAAAGTTCATAATATTTGAGACTTTTCTGCCAATTCGATGAGCTTAATAGAAAGATCGTTATTTCTGACTTTGTGTTACAAATCAACTTTAACCACTTCGGTTTATCTGCTTGTGTTTGCTCCATTTGCTGCTGCTCTTTGAATTTTGGCAGAAAGCAGCGGCCAGAAGTACCGCTGGCTCCTGGATCATGTAATTGTTTTAATTTTAATTAGAGCGCAAGCTGGTGGAAAAAGAACTACGCAATGACAACGCCTGTTCTGTGTTTTTTTTTTTGTTTGTTTTTTGTCATGACATCCCGTTAACCTTTGATCCTCCCAATCACATGAGTAACAGTTAAGTCGAGTCCCATCCCACAGGAAGCCCGCGGGAATCACGTGACCAGTGGGATTCCCGAAGAAATGTCAGCCTCTCCACCAGATATCTGGARGTTTTTATTTTTCCTAACAARAACAAGCCAGAATGAAAAAGAAGTAACAACTTTCTACTTCTTACTAGGGCTGGGTGATATGGCTGAAAAACATGATATAAGTGTTTAATATCAGTGGAGATTGATAATCATTGGTTAGTTTTAGACATCAAATCAGAACTGCCCTACAAAACTGTGTCCGGTGCATCTCCATCAGTCATCTACAGTCTGCTTCACTTCCTGCATTTAGCTCAGCTGTTACAAACTAATCAGCACATTTAAGATAAAACCTTATTCATGAGACTACAGAAAAGCGATCCCTCTGACTCACTTGAAGGGCTCGGACACGCTGTGGGACTTGACGTGGGAGTACCAGTCCTTCTTCCAGCTGTAGCACTTCCCGCACACCTGGCACTGGAACGGCTTCAGGCCCATGTGTTTGTTCATGTGCTGCTGGAGGTCCTTGGATTCATAAAAGCTCTTCTCGCAGCTGTAGGAGACAGGAAGTGATTGAGGTGGACGTGAGTTTGGGCAGGCTGAGGTGAGAGGATCAGGAGTTACTCACTGATTGCAGGCGAATGGACGGACGTCAGGTTTGGGTTGGTGCTTCTTCAGGTGTTTGCTCAAAGCGGAGGCTCGGTGGAAGGTGGTGCCACATGTGTTGCACAGATACTTGGACTCACCTGAGGATGTGTTTCAGAGACAGGGTTACGTGTAGCAGAAGTGGAAATACTCGACCCCGTTCTGAGTGAGCACTGTTATGGGATKAATCTTGTGCCAGCAGGAATTGAATTTAAATTGCTCAGATTGAATCTGAATGTGTATAATATGAAACTGAARYCATTGGTTTGAAAATGAATTTCACTAAATTTAAAGTTTTGTATCTGAATTAATTTGCTTTGAAACTGTATTTTGTTCTATTAAAAATTCAGTTTGACTACTTTCACTTTCAGTTTCATAATTCAGATTTTTGTGTCACATCCTGGTCCTTGAGAAAGGCAGCCAGAGTAATCAAACACAGATCCACAGATTTATGTTTCACTTTGGTGAAGTTTCCCTT